AACTGCCTCTGTATTGAGTTGTCTAGTGAGGCAATGACATAGTAGCGGGCTAGGGAGTTCTTATCCTCCCAATCCTGGTAGTCCCTCCTATGGGCCTCAGAAGCCCTATCACCCGGACGCTCCGAGGCATGATTTTTCATCACCTTATCTAACTTTTCGGAAGTTAGGACCAGCATAAGATTTCTGTACCAGTCGGCATAGTTTGGGCCCTTAAGCTTGTTATCGTCTAGGAGCTTTGCGAATTGACTGTTTGCCATTTTCTGATAAAACAACAAAGACGTAAGTCCACAACCTTAGTTTGATTCATGTTACCTACATAGATATGGTTTTTAATCTATGTTCCATTCTCATTTGTTCATCTCAGAGATTTCCCTCCTATCTCAGTGACGGAGGTGATGAAATGTCTCTGGAAATGTGGGAAATCACATAGGGTGCGTGAGGCCAATTGTTTCAGCTACATAACCCTACCACCTTTCTGTGACGGATCATATCCACTCATCCTATGAGTTTCCCTTTGGCCTCTGTCAGACAAGGTTTAGAGCCATTTTCATGTAAACCTTTCTATCCAGTGAGTGCTCACCCATCATATTCAGGTTACGCCAAGGTACCGTGAGACAATTCCCATTTTCTGGTGAAGCCTCTCCCACATTGGTCTATGACGCCCCTATCATCTTATGAAACACTTTGACAGACCCAACAACAAATGGATAGCCCAATTTTATGGTGCGTTTCCTCACTACTGAAGGACCCATCATTGTGCTAATGACGGAAGGCCTTTAGAGAGTCCATCATATGGATCTCCCTATCACATGCACTCATATTTGCTGGAGGGAACAAAATTACGCCCTATTTCTAATTTAGGTCAAACCAGAGTGGCTCCCACTGACTTTCATTTCTATTAATAAAAAAAAATTTATTTACAGACTGAATTGAATGAAATAAATAAATAAATAAAAAGGAAAAAGGGTGCGCAGACCATCTGCGCCAAGTCTGCACTACGATCTCCAGGTTCGAACAGTGCATTAAATCAAAATAGATAAATTTTGGATTTAACAAAAATTAATTTCAGATCAATTGCCCTTAACAAGAAATAGTTTCTTGAAATAAAGAAAACAATCTGCGCAAAACTTGGCAGAACAACTTCTGTCCACCTACGCAGATTCAGATCTAATTTTCTTTTGGTTCAAGATTCGAACTTGTGGCTCTGATACCACTGAAAGAATGGTAGGATCCATCTAATGGACGCCATGAAGGTTGCGGAATGGGTGGGCAAATTTCAAAATTTTCCTACCTTCTTCCAACTGGGAATCATATTCCCTAATTTAAGAATACAACATTCAAGGATCCTACTTGAACCATAATCGAACCAGATCTGAACCAAAAGGGATGGGAGGAATTATACCTGATCCAGAGAAGTAGTATCTCCCAAAGTTGGTGTTCACGCCCAAAG